GTTTTCCGTTGACATTTTTAAAAAGTATGATTCATTTAAAATCCGCACATGTTCATAGAGTAACCGTTTATAGGCAAAAAACAGCAAATGATCGCGAGCGTCGCGGCGTCGCGTCGTGTGAGTCACCATCTCGGCCAAATAACGAGGCGAGCCATCTTATACATTAAAGTAGATTCTATTCAAATTCGGCACACCATAATGTCCATCACACCTTCACGTGATTTTCATGGACGTACGAGGAGTTCGATGGCGCAAGTGGTTAGCGCGTTCGGCTGCGATCGTTGAAGTTAAGCAACTTTTGCAGTGGTCGGTCATTGGATGGGTGACCAAAAATTTACCATCTCGAGCCCCTCCGTGCTTCAGAAGGCACGTTAAGCCGTTGGTCCCGGCTGCATCTGCAGTCGTCAGCACCCATAAATCCGCACTGGGCCCGCGTGGTGGGTCATGGCCCAATCTCCATATTCCATCCATAGGGAAGGTCTGTGCCCCCGCAGTGGGGACATTAGAAGGCTGATGATGATGATGATGACATGGGCGTACTAAGAGATTTTCCTGGGAAAGGCTGGTCTATTTGAACTTACATTCATAGAGATCTCTCTATGACTATATCTATAGACTCTGTGAAAGAAAGCTGATAGGGCAAAGGAGTTATTGATGAGGTATCTCGGGTTTAATTGCTTAACGTTATTGCTATGACTATCGTTATTGCTTACGATTTCGTTTTGTTATTTCTGACCACCGAAGGTTTTCAAATAAGAAAGAAAATGTTCTATTCAGTGACACACATATACACGAAACAATATATCTTATACATAAATCCAAATACCTCACGCTCATTTTCTTTAATATTGTTATTACCAATGTAAAACAAAAGACGAGCTCGAGGCATTTGGAAACATTCGGCGGTCAGAAATAACGAAATGAAATCGTAAGCGATAGCGACGGCCATAGCAATCCCGTTAGGCGATTGGCCGCCTGGTGATATTTAACATATCGACACACTCTTTTTCGGTCGGAAAAATCATACAAGATATCAGCATCCAAATCAGGTGGCAGTTCTGTCAATTAAATGTGTTTAAATTTTAATTTCAAATTAATAGGTTAAGTTAAGGTTAAGAAAGTTTGGAAAAATGACTTCTACGAGCAAATGAAAAAATAGATAAAAACCAAGAGTCCGTTTTTTTTTCATCACTGCATTGGTAGGTATTTAGGGCGCGTTTATATGACACAGTATGACACAGCGTGGCGGCCGCGCGGTGACAGTACGGCGACAGCACGGCGCGGCGGCCGCGCGGTCACCGCGCTGTGGCCGCGTAATAACTGTTCAGTCATAGCAGATTTATGTTTTATTAACTAAGACTTAACGTTGAAATTCTTTGTGAGTAACTAACTGCGCAGCGACCGCGCGGCGGCCGCGTGATCGAGGTGGTTCAACGTTAAGTCCTAGTTAATCATCATCAGCCTATTAATGTCCCCACTGCTGGGGCACAGGCCTTCCCTATGGATCGAATAGGGAGATTGGGCCATGACCCACCACGCGGGCCCAGTGCGGATTGATGGGTGCTAACGACTGCAGATGCAGCCGGGACCAACGGCTTAACGTGCCTTCCGAAGCACGGAGAGGCTCGAGATGGTAAAGTTTTGGTCACCCATCCAATGACCAACCACTGCGACAGTTGCTTAACAATCGCACCGAACGCGCTAACCACTTGCGCCATCGAGCTCCTCATATTCGTCTTTGATATTTGTAAATATAATGCTCTTCTCTCTAGTCCTAGTTAATAAAACATAAATCTGCTATGACTGAACATTTATTACGCGGCCACAGCACGGTCGCCGCGCGGCGGCCGCAAGAATTTTTTCGCGTCGTCTATCTGCAGCCTTATTTTTCATATCGTTTTGAATGTCTGCCATCGATAAACTTAATTTATACGGACTGTTTAACATTTTATTTGTGCAAATAGAATTTGGAACGGGCTGATTTTATCAGCACGGAGTAAATAAATACTATAGTTATATTTATGATCCGTTTATGTGAATTTAAAAGCTTGCAAAACCATCATAATGGCACAGTGCCAAGCGCATCCATTTAACGATTCGTTACACCAAGCCATTATGTTTGGGCATTCCTTCGTCATTTGTTAATATATCTTGGACTTTAGATGTGCTTTAGACATTCAGGGGGCCATTCGCCTAACGGAAATGCTCTGGAAAACGCTAACGCTTACGATTTTGTTATTTCTAGCCGCCTGAGGTTTTCAAATGCCTCGCGCTCAAATTTTTTCTTATGCATTAGTAATAAATAAATATATAAATAAATATATAAATATTTCCAACACTCACACCAATTAGCCTAGCCCCAAAGTAAGCACTGTAAGGCTTTTGTTATGGGATGCTAGGGTAACGGATAGAATACATATACAGTACATATATAAGTATATTTATATAGAAATACATATTAAACATCCATGACTGGAGTACAAATGCTCGTGTTCATCACATAAACATCTGCCCCCACCGGGATTTGAACCCGGGACCTCTCGAGTCGGCGACACCATGAAACCCGGCGTACAAACCACTCGGCCACGGAGGTCGTAGTAATAACAATATTAAAGATAATGGGCGTGGGGTATTTGAAAACATTCGACGGTCAGAAATGACAATGTTGTCATAATAGGGAAGATGCAATATTTTTATTTTTGTTTTCATTTTAAAGAATTCCATGTAGAATAAACCACAGATATATTAAAAAATTAAAACATTGTGATTTATCGGAAAAAATGCGGTTTTAAATTGACAATTTAAATTTTCGCGCGAAAACGAACCTATGGTTGCGATGACGTCACTCCTGTCAGTCACTGGTCGTAATTGTTCGTTGCTGGCTTTAAAATTTCATACTTTTGCATATTTTTTCAACTTTCGAAATATTTTTTTGAAAATTTTAAAATCTACTATCCATCAACATCATGTGATCATAACAATACCACTAATATTCCGAAATAAAGCCGTGTTGACTCATGTTTTGTGCCAATCTACTTCAACAAAGTTCCCAAATAAATTGTTTTTGACTGGAACTTCTGACCCAAAACTGAAAAAAAGTGGTTTCAAGCTGCGAAGAGAAATGACAATTATTCTCCAAAGACCATTATTCGATGCTGAGAAGATCACTTTGACGTATGTCGGCGAATATACTTGTTATATGCTTTAATTAATCAGCTTGTACGTAAAACGCATTAGTAACCTACCTATAACATATTTTTAATTTTACAGTTGGAGAATGACGTCGAAAATTAGATAAAGTTTAAAATGTGTAGCACAATCTTCACATTGGCAGGACTGAACCAAGCTTTGTGTTTCATTTAAAATAACTGTAACACGATAACCTTCTTTACGTACTTACCGGAGCATAATCCGGAGAACTCGAACTTTTACTGTACATAATTTTCCATCTCTTTTAATTTGGACATAGCCGATTGCATTATCGCCGTAAGATTTGTAGAAGCCGCTGAATAAAATACGAAGTTTAACAACTACGATTTTTACTTATCGTAGTAATTTAGTCCCTTTCATTTCTACACTTAAAAACTCTGCACTTTGGACAAAAAAGTTATAACCATGTCAACGCTAACTCTTGGTAAATTCCTGGAGTCTGCTTTGATAAACGCAACTTCCATTTTTATTAAATGTAAAAAAACGCAATAAATATTCCCATAAAATAATATTAACTTTAACAACCATAACCTCAAAGAAGTTGTCATAACAGGAGTGACGTCACTAAACGCTGATTGGTGTTTTAATATACGTTCCGTTTCAAGTATTTTTAATTCGTAATAATTGTTAAAAAACAACATTATGTAAAATAAAAACGTTGCAGTGGCATTTCTTTTATATTTTTTTAACATTTTAATCATAAAATTTTCATAAATATTATATATGCATCTTCCCTATTACGACATAAAAGAATTATCAAGTTAGAAACAAAGACCTTGCTAATGTAAGCAGTAGGGAATTCCACTTTTCGCTCATTTCCTTGCAAATGCGTAGAAACAGCATGCACAACGCACGGCCTTCCTCCGTTGTTCTATCCTCTACGCGCGTTACTACGGCGCTGCTTTGATCGTTAAACATTCTACGCACATAGCGATGAGCCGACATTAGAATGCTAATATTAAATTTACTTTATCTGCAGGATCTCCTACTGGTGAGGTCATCTTAAGAAAGATAATTAAAATTGCTGATTGTCATACTTTCTCAGGAACGCACAATTGACACGGTGAAACCCTCATCACATTACTAATTGAAAAGTTAACATCTGTAATTAATATAAGTTTCGTTTTTGGTTGGTGTTACTTGGTGGTCACTCTTTTAGAACCGTCACCAAGTCGAGACAATTTGTATTTGTGAAATACGAAGCAAAGAAATATTGTAAACAGTCAATAGTCATGCAGTTGACGACCTCCGTGGCCGAGTGGTTTGTACGCCGGGTTTCTTGGTGTCGCCGACTCGAGAGGTCCCGGGTTCAAATACCGGTGTTTGTGTGATGAATACGAGCATTTGTACTCCAGTTCATGGATGTTTAAATATGTATTTCTATATAATATACTTATATATGTATTCTTTCCGTTACCCTTGTCCCATAACACAAGCCTTATAGTGCTTACTTTGGGGCTAGGCTAATTGGTGTGAGTGTTGGAAATATTTATTTTTATTTTAGTAATTAACCTCTTTTTTATTGTCTGAACATTGCTTCTATTCCCCCGGCCACCATCGGGAGAATGAGATTATGTAAGACTTCTTCCCTTTCATTTCTATCCATTATTTAATTCACCTCAGGATTGGGAAAAATGAGCAGGGCTCTACTCACAAATTAATCAGTTAATACTCCTACGTCTATCAGCGACACACATTGCAAAGGCTCAGATCTTCGAGATACACCTCAGGAACACTTGCAAAGGCTCAGATCTTCAAGGCACACTTCAGGAACACTTGCAAAGGCTCAGATCTTCAAGGCACACCTCAGGAACACTTGCAAAGACCCAGATCTTCAAGGCACACCTCAGGAACACTTGCAAAGGCTCAGATCTTCAAGGCACACCTCAGGAACACTTGCAAAGGCTCAGATCTTCAAGGCACACCTCAGGAACACTTGCAAAGGCTCAGATCTTCAAGGCACACCTCAGGAACACTTGCAAAGGCTCAGATCTTCAAGGCACACCTCAGGAACACTTGCAAAGGCTCAGATCTTCAAGGCACACCTCAGGAACACTTGCAAAGGCTCAGATCTTCAAGGCACACCTCAGGAACACTTGCAAAGGCTCATATCTTCAAGGCACACCTCAGGAACACTTGCAAAGGCTCAGATCTTCAAGGCACACCTCAGGAACACCTCAAGGCAGCCGCTGTGATGTCTGACCATGTATCCGACCAACAAGGTGAAAGTCCGTAACCAGACTTACCCGATGGATTCGCCCAAAGTAGAAAGGGCATTATGATGATTGATGATTCTTCCACAATTATTTCATCATTCCAGCAACTTCAGAAATACAGCCCTGATGCTCACATGTCCGACCTGGGTGGTTCTTAGAGGGCATTTATAAAATAAATAAATATAAATATTTCCAACACACACACCAATTAGCCTAGCCCCAAAGTAAGCACTGTAAGGCTTGTGTTTATGGGATACTAGGGTAACGGATAGAATACATATACAGTACATATATTAGTATATTTATATAGAAATACATATTAAACATCCATGACTGGAGTACAAATGCTCGTATTCATCACTCAAAACATCTGCTCCCCACCGGGATTCGAACCCTCCCGGGTTCGAGTCCTCGAGTCGGCGACACCATGAAACCCGGCGTATAAACCACTCGGCTAAGGAGGTCGTCAAATTCACTCATTATTTCACGATTTCACGTAGTTCTTAATATTATATTTCCATCGCATCAAACGGTGCGCTTACAAAATATTCTAGCTCCGACTTTTCCGTTAATGATTAGTTGTAAATCTGAGACATTACAATACCGACGACGCGCTCCGCCATGGCCTCAATCCTGCGCGCGTACATAAACATCAATGATTATAACTATTCTGACTTGTGCAAGCAACTCGTGAACAACGACCACGTATATTATTGCTTGTCAAATTTCTTCAATTCCACTGGATTTTTACCATCGTTGTTGAAAAACTATGTGGTTATTGGACTTTTTGTATAAATGGCCTAGATCAGTGTTTCCTAACCTTTCCAATACCCCTGTAACCTATTAAGAAAACAGATTCTACCCCGACTTTAAAATGTTATCATCAGTCCGAGAAATTCCAATTTGGCCGCTACATCTTCGTCTCCAATAATGTCATCATCAGGGGAAAATCTCGCCCCGCTTACCACACAGTACCCCGCGGGCTCGCTAGCGAGAAGGAGCGCATGCTCTATTAAGTAGTATTATTTAGATTTGACCATATTAGGTTCTTTGTTACCCCCGAAGTATGGCTGACTTACCCCCAGGTTCGGAACCTAGGGCCTACATAAATGCCATATGTTGTTAAGCAAAAACTTTATCTGTGCAGTTTTAGCGCTTCGTAGAAGCGTCATCCACAGTCTTGTGCGAATTGTTGAAAATAGTCTAAAAACTACATCTTTAATTTCTGCACTTCCTACGTTATGCTGACTGACAGTGAATTCATTTGTAATTTAATTAACAAGGAATCGAGGGAGCCGCGAGCCGAATTATCCTGTTATTGTAATGATATTCGGTGAAGTGAACACAATGAATGACATTCGCGCATTTCGTACCGGTTGTTGAACTGGCGACGTCGGTTGGTCGATCGGCGCTAACCAACAGAACCTGCGGTGGGTGGCCGATTATTAAAATTAAATTATGTATCACGATTGAGCTAGCTTTGTGTCACGAGGCATGTGTGCGTTGTTAAAAGTCTCCAAGCAAAATTTTAAGTTGACCGCTACAAACTTCAAATGTATTCAGCTGCTACATGAAAGATAAAAAGTTTATTAGAAATATCCTGAACGATATTTGAAAGGAGAAAGAAATAAATAAGGAAAACTTATCACGTGTTTTCGATATCTTCACAGAATTAAAAAGGAAGTTTGAAAAGTACAAACATAATACATATAAACAAGGGCAATATATAATATTTACTATCTCGAGCTCCTCCGTGCTTCGGAAGGCACGTTAAGCCGTTGGTCCCGGTTGCATCTGCAGTCGTTAGCACCCACCAATCCGCACTGGGCCCGCGTGGTGGGTCATGGCCCAATTTCCCTATTCCATCCATAGGGAAGGCCTGTGCCCCAGCAGTGGGAACATTAATAGGCTGATGATGATGATGATGAAGGGCAATAAGCTTTACCTATTGCAATCTTAAAATGTTTAAAAAAATTGTTGGCCATAATAGCAAAACAGTTTAGGACATGGAAATGCTGAGTTTTAGGAGATAATGGAAATATTTTTGTTTCAAGTCTGTTCAGTGGACATAGTTGTGTATGAGTATTATAGAAAATCCTCTCTTAACTGTAGTCTTTAATGGTTTTTTTTTTATTATTTAACAATCTGAAATTAAATAGATTATGGAGAAGTCTACATTTCAGATTTTATTAATTTTAAGTCAGCATGGCAACACGTATGTTATAGCCGTTATTGGTATTATGAAACACGTTCCAACTATGCCATTTTGTTATCATGAAAATTGTTGGCCATAATAGCAAAACAGTTTAGGACATGGAAATGCTGAGTTTTAGGTTTTTGTTTCAAGTCTGTTCAGTGGACATAGTTGTGTATGAGTATTATAGAAAATCCTCTCTTAATTGTAGTCTTTAATGTTTTTTTTTTATTATTTAACAATCTAAAATTAAATAGATTATGGAGAAGTCTTACATTTCAGATTTTAATTTTCAGAATTATATATCGACTAATTGGGAAAACTTTCAATTCTAGTCTAATATGTTTATGAATAGAATAAATAAATAAAATTGTTTGATTTATTGTTTGTTGTGACTTTAGGTAATTGTATTTGTGTCACACTTTAGTTTGGTAATGCATTCTTGACCATGTTACTCAATTCACTTGTCCCATTTTGGTTGTACATTAAAGAGTCATCCATCTAAACATGTCGTGTTCGAAACGTCTCTTTGTTGTCCGCCTCTTCGTTGTGTTTTGTAACCAATTTTGTTTTAGTTACGTTGAAAGAATAGAACTTAGAAGAGGGATAACCGTGTTTTTTTTTTAAGATACCACCGGGTTATTCCACCTGGGGGCCATTCGCCTAACGGCAATGCGTTGGAAAACGCTAACGCTTACGATTTCATTTTGTTATTTCTAGCCGCCTGAGGGTTTCAAATGCTTCGCGCTCTTTTTTTTTCTTTTGCATTGGTAATAACAGTATTAAAAAAAATGGTTGCCTGTAAAGTCGGTTTTACGGGCGAAGATTTTACGTGACAACGTCTTTTTCTCGGTAGAATATTTATTGATATGAATATAATTAAATTGCACAATAGGAACAAGGAATTGAATGAAAATAAGAATTGCACAAATTTTAACTATAGAAATATATTTTGTTTACTAAAACATTGTACATGTAAACTTAAACTTAACACGAGAGACTCATCGTAACGTTACCGAGCGTTACACTTTTTCATAAGTGACTCCCAGCCGCAACCTAATTTAAGACGTTGTCACGTCAAAAATAACGTAAGGAACGTTCGAATCCAAATGATTTTAGTTTTAAAGACGGTTCTTTATGTCACGGTACGTTGTAAGTGTTAGTAACTTCCAAAATAGTAACATCGTTAAAGTAATTATCATATATCATCCACCGAAGCTTTCGTTATTTGCTAAATCACACAAAGTTGCCTGCAGCCCTCGAAAAGAGGTCGAAAGAACAATAAAAAAATATTAAAGACGTCATCACGGCGAAAGGCTTCGCCGCATTCTCGGGTGAATCGCGATGACGATGACTAACGCAATCAGCTCCTGAATGTTGACCCACATGATACACGGATAACTTGCAAATGAATCACTCTGATACTACAAAGACACGGGTAAAACTTAAAACTAGAACAAGCGAAATCCAAAAATGCTGAATCATAGTGTCGAAGAAGATGTATAAACCCAATATTTGAATATGCGCTAGCACTTCATATGGTTATTCGTCTTTGTTATTTGTAAATAGCATGCTCTTTAGGGAATGAAAATGAACTAGGCAGCTGTAAATTTTACGAATAGCATAGACAAAAATATGTTCGATATCAATTGTTTTGACAAATTTACGCGTCTCCAGAAGACACACAAGCCACACAGATGCAGTTCATTTTGCAACCATCTGTACTTTGATGGCAACAAATCATAGATGCACTATTATGCAATCACCGGGTCAAATAGCAATTGACTGTCACTTTCTAATTCTGGACTTCGTGTGTGTTCTCGGAGGTGAACGTAAAATATTTTATGATAACATTTATGGCGGTACAGGTTTTTATGAATCTTCGAATGAATGTGTTACAAATTTACACCATGTAAATGCTGGAAGGTACGAATAAAAGGAAAAGGAAGTTAAGTGAATAGTTTTCTTAGAATTATAATGACGGATTTTTCGGGATTTTTTAAGATATGTTTGTTTTCTTACATCACCTTCGAGTTTTAAGTTTCAACATATATAACTCCAACAATGCGTCAAAGAGAACTCTGATCATTATTGTGGTTTTTGTCTCTGATGGTTTTTTGTGAGTCACGCATGACATACCGCAGCTCCACCAATTTCCATACTTTCGCTCGTTTGACTCTTTTCGATTTTGATGTGCTATGGTCTTCCACTAACTCCGGTTTCAACAATGATGCCTTGCCGGTCACGACCTTGCGGTTAGCGTCTCGATGCACCGTTTTGTGGTAGAATCGTGAATTAAATTAGTTCGAACCTTGATGTGTTCTCAACATAATAATCATCTGATGAAAACTTTCTAAGCTTGAAAATGAAGTTTGGCTATAATTTAAAAGGAAATCTGAGATTCTATCAGTATTCATAATTAATTTATCGTTTAAACGTTGTAAGTGTTTCAAGTTTAAAAACTATTAAAACGAGCTCTACCATGCACGTGGGGCTTGTAAAAAAAGGATGTCCCCAGTCTGTAAAGCAACTTTCAGGCTGGCAAATCAAAATCGAGCTATGCTGCGCTGTACCGCGCTGTGCTATGTTTGGTCAACTCGCTCGTCTAATATTTTAATGAGGATATAAACAAACCATGCTGTGCTGCGCTGTGTGAGGCTACGCTCTGTTTAAAAACGCAGCAGTCTCGAGCGAGGCGCGCTACCCGCTATGCTCAGCCGCGCTGTGCCGTACCACGGTAATAATATCATACAGTATTCTATCTTCATACAAACGGTCGGAAAGCGAATCATACCTACGCCACTCGAGTTCGATGTGCTCTCGGCGTGCACCCAGTCGCGAATGCGCCGCCGCGCCGCAACGACGACCGAACGGTCTGAATTGTTTTTTATGCAGTTAGCCGTGCTTAAACATGCGTTTTGTATTGTAAATATTTGATTTAATTAAGTAGATACCTACATAATTTAGTATGGAAAAGAACAAACGACGATCAGTATCGTACAACAGCACAATTGCTGTTTTTGGTTG